CGACACCGCAGCGTCACCGCGCCGCCGTCCCCCGCCGACACCGAGGTTATGGATCGATTCTTTCGATTTTTTCGTGTTTTTCGTGTTTTTCGTGCCGAGGTTATGGAACGGTTTAGGGTTAGTTGTAGATTTTAGGGTTCATTTAGGGTTGAGGGTTTTATTTTAGGGTTTAGGGTGAATTTAGGGTTTAGGGTTTTATTTTAGGGTTTATTGAGGGTTTAGGGTGATTTTTAGGGTTTAGGGTTCATTTTAGGGTTTAGGGTTTTATTTTAGGGTTTAGGGTTTATTTAGGGTTTAGGGTGAATTTTAGGGTTTAGGGTGAATTTAGGATTTTAGGGTTTAGGGTTTAGGGTTTAGGGTTTAGGGTTTAGAGTTTATTTAGGGTTTAGGGTTCATTTTAGGGTTTAGGGTTTAGGGTTCATTTTAGGGTTTAGGGTTTATTTAGGGTTTTAGATAGCTTTTTTATTATTTAGGGTTTAGGGATAGGGTTTACTGCTAGTTCACGGGTTTTCATGATTTTGTTTTGTTATATGTAACTTGTAGATGAGTCACTCCCATTCTAGTGGTCGTAGTGGTAGCGGGGTACGATCCCGAGGACGTGGGATCGGATCATCTAGATCACCATCTGTCCATCGGGATCAGGTGGTAGTCGATCCTCCTCGACTTGATGTACCTTTCACGGGTGCGGCTTCCCCCCAATCCGTGAATGAAGGTGCATCTAGTCATGGTGCATCGCCATCGGCATCGTTGCAGGAGATTCTAGCGTCTGCAGAACATCGTCTCCAACCTCGTCTAGATCCGGATCGTTCCCCCGGTTCTATTTGGTATGTATTTTTGTGCATATAATATATATTTATTTTAATTTCTTTTAAATTAATTTTACGAATTCGATTTTTACAGGTTTGGTCGTAATAACGACGTGATTTCATCCGTCGTTAGCATCTTTCAGTCGGACTTCAAAGGTCCGTGGCGGAGTTTCACCCGTGTCCCTCCATCTGATCTACATCGTTGGTTTGGAGCTTTTGCGGTAAGAATTTTGACACATAGTTCAATTATATATATATATGCATACAAAATTATAATTTTTTTTATAGCAAGCTTATTATTGGGACGAGTCTGTTCATGATCGAGTCTACGCCGCTTGGAAGGTTCATGACCGAGTCTCCGCCGCTTGGAAGCTCGCCGTCCGAGATCGCCTCAAGGACAGCATTTATCGGGTAAAGAGCAGACGCGTACGACCTCCATGGATGTCGACGGCGATCTACGATCAGCTAGTTGTGTATTGGGATTCAGAAGAGGGAATGCAGAAGAGTCAAACATTCTCAAGCAATCGACGATCCCGAGCGGAGGTCGAACGCGCACCCCCGACCCACACTGCAGGACGGAGATCATTTGCTCGAGTCGCCCATGAGATAGTAAGTAAATAAATATTTATTTTAAAATTTTTTTAAATATTTTTAATTAAATTTTTTGGGTGCAGATGCAGAAGGAAGGTGAAGAACCTTCTGCGTTGCGATTGCTGCAGGAGACTCACCGTCGAGCTGACGGTACTTATATCAGCGATCGCGTTCAGGAAATTGAGGATGCGATTCAGGCAAAGTTTAATTGACGTATATTTTTGATTTTGTAGGTTGTCCAACCCGATGCCAAAGGACGTATATACGGCGTCGGTGCAATGGCGACTCAGTTGGGTGGGGGTTATCCGGATGCAACATCCATCGGTCACCACGTCTCACTCACTAGGGAGGTCGAGCTGTTGAAAAAAAAGATTCAAGAGTTCGAGGAGGATCGCAGGAAGATTGCTAGACTTGAAGAAGCTGAGACACGGATTGCGCGTTACGAGACGCTTTTCGCCCGGCTATTTCCTCCTCGAGACGACCCACCAACGGCGCAAGATATGCCGTTCAACCCATTTTTGACTCCTCAGCCCGGAGTCGGACCTTCTACAACACCCGCGGACCAAACAACCGGATCAGACAATCCGGATAACTTTTTTGTTTAGT